ATGAAAATACATCCTGCATCAGATATTTACATTATGATTCATAAGAGTAGCAAAATTGCAGTTATGAAGTAGCAACGAAAATAATTTTATGGTTGGGGGTCACCACAACATGAGGAACTGTAATAAAGGGTCGCGGCATTAGGAAGGTTGAGAACCACTGCTCTAGAACAGTGGTCGGCAAACTCATTAGTCAACAGAGCCAAATATCAACAGTACAACGATTGAAATTTCTTTTGAGAGCCAAATTTTTTTAAACTTAAACTATATAGGTAGGTACATTGTTATTAACTTAATTAGGGTACTCCTAAGGCTTAGGAAGAGCCACACTCAAGGGGCCAAAGAGCCGCATGTGGCTCACGAGCCGCAGTTTGCCAACCACTGCTCTAGAGCAAAGGACACTTTAACTCATTTAAGAAGCCTTTGCTGGGCACCCACTAGGTGCTAGACTAGCTATTGCTGGGGATACATGCAATGTGAACAAATGTGAACAAATCCTATTCCCTCCTTGCCAAGACTCACTGCCGCTAAGGAAAGGCAGAGCTTTCACCTGTGAACAATGTTGCCCTGGACAGAACCATGAACTAAGTCCTAAGGGGACACAAAGAGATGCCATCATCTCTCCTAAAGTCTCTCCTCCTTGAAGTGTTTCTCTCAATTCATCATCTTCCTCATCTCTTCTTCAGTCATCAACCCCACGCCCAGCCCCAACTCTGAAGATCGATATCAGATGCCACCTCTTCGGAAAAGCTCTCCTCCAAGTCTCCCACCAGTTGTGCATTCTTCTTCCAGAACTCTCCCAGCACCTCGTTCCTGTTTTCCCATGATTCTCTCCCGTTTTTCCCTGAACTGAACCATGGTTAGTTGTATGTGCCCCTCCCCCTGGATGTCCCACTGCCAGGCATGCCCTGGCACTGACAAGATATTTCTGTAAGCATCTTGCTATCTTTGCACAGCATGGAATCTTTGATCATGTGTTGATTACTGTCAGTGTTTACAGAAAAGGAAGAGGCAGTGTCCCCACAGAGTCAGTCACTGGAACTAGCGGCTGGGGGAGGCCATGGGCTCATCCTGGGTGAGCTTTGTGAGCTGCCTGGGCAACAGGGAGCAGGAGCAGCTGCTCTCAGAGACCAACTCTTTCCCCCCAGATGGTTAAAGAAGAGGAGTAAACAGGGCAGGAAGGATCATTAGCCACGCCACTCCTACTTGCCCTGCGTTTACCCCTCAGTGTAGCCAGGCCTGGCATCATGAGGGGTTGAGTGGTATCAATGTAGGTAGTGGCCTCTCCTCTTTCAGTTCTTTGACTTTTGATTCTTAAAAACTACATCCCAAATGAGGGAAATGAAACTACTAAAGACTCTCCCCCAGCAGGCAGCTGACGTGGGGCAAGAGAACAATTCCCAGTTAAGGCCCCAAAGGAAATCCCCCCCTGTCATGTGCTGAGGCTGGAGAAGGGGGGAAGGCATTAGTTCACTGCTTGGCCAGGCCCAGCCACCAAGGTGAAGGGCCGGATGGAAGGACTGCCCTGTCTGTGGCCAGGAACGGAGAACCCAAGGCAGAGTAGGGAACATCACCGGTGACAGTGAGAGGACCAAGACTTAGACCTAGAGTGAACTGCAGGTTCCACAAGTAGGCCCTGCCACTCCATTCTAGTGTGGAGGAAAGGGGGCCATATACTACACCTGATAGGCTCAGGGGAGGCCTGCGTGGTGGGCTTATAAACTCAGAGACCTAAAGTAACCACATAGGATGGTCTGAGCATACAAATTCCCAACTGAAAATGACTCATGGTGGGTAGACACATCCTAGACCTGTAGCTTCCTTGACAAAGGTTAATCTTTACCTTAACTGAGCCTGTCTATTGTCTTTTTGCATCTAAGATAACAAATCTTTGAAATGTCAGAGTAATCCCCTTTTTCTGGACTCCTCAGAGCACAACCTCGCCCCAGAGCATGAGACCACAGAACTCCTCATTGTTGTAATCTTGTTCCCTGAATATCCTCGATGTGCTGTAAATATTCGCCGTTAACGATCCTGTACCTACCAATATAAAAGAAGTACGTGTCTCTGTTTTACTCTTTATTCAGTCTCAGAGATTTTCCTGATTTGCTTTTTCCCACCCCCTTAATCTACCATCAATGATTCCAATGTATAAAATAAGCTGTAAAACTGTTATTCTCTGGAACATTTTCTCAGTCTGTTGAGATTTTTGCTTCCTGATAATTGTCATCATTACCAGTAAACCATGGCTGGCCCTAGGCAGACCCACTCAGGTCCAAGTGCCTTTCCCGTAACATTTGGACATTTCTTACACTGACACTGTATCTTCTCTCACAGACCCATCTAGAGGAAGTAAAGTGCCCCTCCCTATCTCCCCCTCATTTCTCCTTTCGGAGCCTTTGCATACTACCTCCCCCACAACTTGAAATGTCTCCCTTCACTTTCTCTGCTGTAGGCCTCCTTACCCCTCAGTCCTGAATAGTGTTTGCTTATCATCTGAAAAAGTAGTGGGAGGAGAGACAGAAGCCCAAGTCCCTTTGATCTCTTTGGGAGACTGAGACCTCCTACCAGTGACAAACTATTGTAAAGCTTAGTTTAGAAACAAACAAACAAACAAACAAACAAACAAAAACATCTCAGGCAATACTTAAAGAATCATGGACAAGGTAGGTTTTCTGCCTTCCTCTCTTCTTTCCTTCTCTTCCCTCCTTCCTTCTTTGACTGAGCCCTTTTATGTGCACTGGGCAGTATACTTGTTGGAATAACGGTTGACCCCCTCCCCTCAGAGGGTTTTAGTGTAATTGGAGAAACCAATTAGGACAAAATTGTAATTAGGACAAAAATCCTAAAAGTTAAATCACAATACAAGAGATGTCATGAAGTCCTGGCTGGAATGGCTCAGTTGGTTGAGCATCATCCCACGAACTGCAAGGTTGCTGGTTTGATTGCTGGTCAGGACACATGCCTGGGTTGGGGGCTTGATCCCCAGTAGGGGGCATGGAGGCAGCTGATCAATGTTTCTCTCTCTCTCTCTCTCTCTCTCTCTCTCTCTCTCTCTCTCTCTCTTCCCCCCCTTCCCTTGCTCTCTCTCTCAAATCAACAAAAACATATTTTTTAAAAAATATATCATATTATCAAAGAGAGAGATGTCATGAAGCCAGTGGATATTGTAGACACTTGATGCTATGTGTTCAGAGGAAGAAGTAGAGGCTTTGCAGAGGTGAGGGAGCCCAAGCCATGCCTTCAGATGGGAAGGGTTGTGGTAGGCAGAAAATAGGCCACTTCAAGCAAGGGAACCCTCTGAGGGAACCCTTTGACAGAGGAAGTGCAGAGTGGGAGCGTTTGTTCTGCGTTTGCAGTGGTTCTCAACCTTGGCTGCACATTAGAATCACCTGGGAATCTTTTTCCTGATTTCTGGGCCTCATCCTCCGGAAATTCTGTTTCTTTGTTATGGGGTGGGGCCACAACATTAGTAACAAAGAAACAGAATTTTACTTTCACCTCAGATCTCCTCTGAGATCCTGGTGCGCTGCTTGCACTAAACTTGGCTTGAGCAGGGGATGTGTACAAATTTCCCAATACATGGAGCAAGCTCGAAAAAAGAGGGACAGAGGTGCTTTGCCAGTGTGCACCGTGGGTTATGCCCCAGAGGAAGTGCCCTCATCTCTTCTGCCTTGTGCGGCACGGTCGGGTGAAGAAGAACAGCACCCAACCAAGCTGGAAAACCCTGAACTGTGCGGTCAGGGTTACAGCCTTGCTGGCATGAGAACCGTTCTGTTTTCAGTTGTAAATCAACATTGGTTTTGGCTGCAAGTCGTAGGTCCTCCCTGCCGAGCCAGCTTGCTGCTAGCAGGCGAGTTGCTGTGCTCTGCGCCAACAAATTGGCTTCTCCCCACACATTCATCAAGATAACTGGTTTCCTAAGCTTTTTTTTTGTTAAGGGTAGCAGCCACCTTTCTCAAAAAAAATTCTATAGAGAATCTCAATGTATAAAACATACAAAAGTGGGATTGCTTGTGATAAGGAGGGGATAGAGCAGGCCATGTGCTGGATGTTTGGAGCAGGAAGGACTTGCTCCTATTCTCCCAGGATGGCCATGCCCAGGGCAATAATGCAATAAAGAATCACAAGTCAACAGGCAACAAGAGACACGAACCAACCCTCCAGGACACTTGGACCCCCCAGATCTGATGGGAAAGAGCAGCACTGGAGATCCCTTCTCTGACGCTCCTCGAACCCTTGTCCGCATCGCTCATTCAGCATGCGGCTGACCGTCCACATTTTACCTTCTCCACTAGATTGTTAGCTCTTGGAGTATAGAAGCTATGAGATCATGCAAATAAATTTCTTAGCATAATGCCTAACAGCTTTCTGATGGTAGCTATTAATTCGATTAAAGAAAATTCTTGGCAAGAGCTAGAAGGGAATTTTGTACACATCAGGTACAAAATTTTATCCAGTCTATGATCAATAAGCTCATGGCACTCTGACAGTCCACTACAAAGCAGTGTCCATTTCTTTTTCTGTTTTTGATGTGCTGGGCACATAAAAGGAGATTATTAATAAAGATCAGCTGATTAGATGGCTCTTCCAAGTGGTGGACTTTCTCCCAAGTGGAAAACCTGTGTCCGACCCATTTCCAAAGTCTGCCCCAGCTTGACCCTTGGACGTAACCTCGGAGGGGAGTTTTTTGAGTCAGCAGAGCTCACAGACAGGGGCCCTCCAGCTCAAAATCTCTAAGGCAAGAAAGCCCGGGGAGCCTTGGTTAGCACTGCCTGGGGGACCGTAAAAATGCCTGCCCTCCTTCTCCACTAGCCCAGCGGGTAGTCCTGGGGCCGCTGTTCCCGCTCTTCCCGCGGCTGCCCTCTCCCTTCCCCCCTCACCACCCACCCGAGGGGCAGTTCCTTCTCTGATGCCTGATCGCTGTGAGTGCTGAGTTGCAGAGCAGCTCGCTCTCCATGTGACTTCAGTTTCCGTCAGTTCCTTCCGCAAGTGCTAAAATAATCTGATGCTCCAGAGAGAGGCGGCGGCCCAGCCCTGCTTTGGGCTGCTGTCGAGGAGGCCGGAGCCCTGGGAGAGGATGCGCTCGGAGGAGCCGCCTGGGCCCGCGGGAGCCGTGAGTATTTCCTGCGTGGCGGGCTGCCACCCTTTTTGAGGTGGGCGAGCTCGGCCCACAGCTGGGGACTGTCGGGGAGGTAGTGGCTCGCTGAAGCCAAGATCCACCGCTGTTGTGCTCAGTGCAGGGGCTACAGCTCGGGGGTAGGTGGATTCGCGCCCCTAGGAGCACTGAGAACTGAACAAGGTGGTGTGGCGTAGGGGAACCGACAAGGGCTTCAGATTCCTGGTTTGAGAGTTTGATTACTGGCCCTGTGAGGAGAATGTCCAAGCCTCAGTTTCTTCATCTGCAAAATGGGAACAATAAAGCTTCCTCCTGGGTTGGATGAATGGATGCAATAAGACTACTCGGTGAGCGCTCAGCATGTTGGGGTGCTTGGATCTTCTTTCCTGCCCCACAAGTCATAGATGAGGACACTGATACTGGTGGACAGCAACACATACTTACGGATGTCTTCCACGTGCAGGCCTGCTCTGGGTGTTGGGGACAGAGCTCTGAAGGAGACAGGCAAAGCCCCTTCGCCACACAGTGTTCTGGGGAAATTCGCTAGCTAGTAAGTGTCAGAGGGAGACCAGATCCCAGGCCTTTCTGAGCCTTTGTCCAGTGCTCTTCCTCACAGCCTCCATGCAGGCTGGATTCTGGAGGGTTCAGCACATATTCCCATGCACTCAGGAGCTGACATAAGTGAGGAGCCACTGACTCGGCTCTGGCTCTGTACTGCCTTCAGAATGGGCGCCAGCTCACTTGGCGCCTGAGAGAAGGTGACCACGTGCCCAACAGTGGCTGCGACTCAGGGAGGCTGAGGCATGGTCCTCGGGATGGAGCTCACGGGTAGGGCTGGTCTGGGGAACCCTTGGGAGGTTTCTTCCGTGATGGGTACAGCCTGTTGGGAGCTTGGACAGTAGAAATGTTTTGAATTTATAAAGCTGGTCTTTTGAGGTTTTCTCTGCTCTTCACCCACTGTCTGCACTGCACAGGCTGTTTCTGTGGGTTTTACAGCCCTGAGAATTACTTATTGGCCTCACACACCCCATAGGTTTTTACAGGTATGTCTGAGAGTTCCTAGAGGGAATTATAGAATTATGGGCCCAGGAAAACAAACAAACAAACAAACAAACAAACAAACAAACAAACAGAAAACCCCAGCTCAACTCCTGCCTTTAGGTTTAAAAAAGAAAAAAAGAAACAAGAAACCTGTTTCACAAAGAGGGTGCTTTCATCCAATGGGTAACCTCATGGCACTTCATGAAAACCCATAGAAACCTGATCCCACATAGTGTTTCAACCCATCATCCAGGAGCAGAGCTCCCAGACAGATAGCAGGCTCCTGGCGTCTGTCCTGGGGCCCGAGTTAGGGATGCACTGGCCTGTCTGTCCCTGATCTTTCTTTGTCCTGGGAGAGTGACACCAGCACTGATGGTAACCTGCATCCTGGCTGCAGTGTGTCTCCACACCACAAGGCGTAAGGCAGATTCTTGGCTGGACAACTAGATGTACCTCACGCCTCAGATCCAATTATAACCACATAAGTTAGGGGAGGGGAGGCTTTCAACCATGACTGAAAAACATTACCTTTCTCAGGACCGGCTTGCTGTGTGCTCAGTGATGCTCACTGATGTGGTCACACCTTAGTGACAAATACTTTTGCCTTTAGTAAAATTTCATTATTATACTCGTTTCCCTCCCTTCCTAAAACTATTCTTCTCAATTTCACCATTGAATGAATTGTCATGGCTCACCGTGTGGGAGGCTCTGGATTAGGTTAAGCGACGATCTCTGAAAGCTGAGAGAATTAAGGAGAGGAAAAAAGGACAGTGATATTTATATCTTATCAAGCCTCACGAGTAACTGTAAATCTGAGTGTAGGGGTCTTTTAGTTACAAATGACAAAAACCCAATTAGCTTGGCTTCAGCAAAAAAAAATATATAGAAAAAAGTGAATTTATTGTTTCAAATAACCAAAAAGTCTATGGAAAATAGCTTCAGGCATGGCTAGATCCAGGTGCTTAAACATGGCTAGGAATCCATCTATCTCCATTCCTCAGCATTGCTTTCCTCTGTGTAGGCTTCATTCTCTGGCAGGTACTAAAGTCGGTGGCAAAGATGGGTGCCTGCAGCTCCAAGCTTAATTGCCACCAGTTTGGCATCTGAAGCAGGAAGAGAAAGCCTCTTTCCCCAAAGTTCTAGCAACAATCCTTGCATTGATTCTCATGGGCTTGGCTTCGTGAACCCATTATAAACCAATCACCGTGGTTAGGGAATAGGAGGCTCTGATGGGCCCAGGCTTGTTCCCAGGCCTCTCCTTGGAACCAGGAGTGAAGGTCAAACTCAACTGAACACGATCTTCTTCAGAAAATAAGGGGGTTGATTGCATGGCAATGTAAATGCACTTAACACTACTGTGCTCTACACCTAAAGTGGTTAAGATGGTAAATTTTCTGTTATGTCTATTTTACCACAATTAAAAATTAAAATAATAAAGAAAGAAACTGGCGATTTCCTCAAAGGGGAGTTAAGGAATTGTTACCAGAAGGAGAAATGAATGTGGGTAGGCAAAACCAACTGATTTTCAGAGCAAATGGAGTCAGGTGCTGAGAGCAAACCACATGTGTCTTCTCACTTTAATGCATGAGTAGTTTCAGACTGAACAAAGGGAATACAGGAGGAAGTAGAGGATCTGTCATGGTTCTCACCAGCGAGGTGGGCAAGAAGAGCAGGGCTGGTCCCAATAATGGGCTAAATGTAGCTACAAAGCCCTGAGGACACAGGGACTCCACACACAACCTAGAAGGTTGCCTTGGTCAGGTGCTCTGCCATGTGTCTACACTACTTTTTGCTGCCAAGAAAGAAAGAAAAGAGTGGGCAGGGGACTTCTCTTCAGGAGATAGCACTTGGGGCTCTATCTAGTCACCCTGGCTCTTCTCAAGCAGAAAGTGAGTGAGGAAGCCCAGCACCCAAAGTGACCAGTAGAAGCTCACCTGAGCGTACACATCATGTTCCTCAATAGCCTCATGTCACTCCACTTTAGATGTCAGGCTGGACACTGGCTCCTCCTGATCTTCCCTACTGTCCTCTCCTTGTCCAGCCGTGATCCCTCAGGTCTCTCCTGCCCTTTCGGTGTCTCCTCTCAATGGTCCCACCAGACGCCAAGGCTGAAGTCCCTCCTTCGGCCTGCAGGGTCAATGGCAAATGCGTCTTTCCCTGACTAGCCCTGGGCCACTACTTCAGCTTCAGACATGTTAATGGTCTCCTTATCACTGCCCAGCCTGGTACCCTGTGACTTCCTCATGGGCCTCCCCCAATGACCTTTCTCTTGTTCTAGATCAGTGGTTCTCAACCTTTGGCCCTTTAAATACAGTTCCTCATGTTGTGACCCAACCATAACATTATTTTCGTTGCTACTTCATAACTGTAATGTTGCTACTGTTATGAATCGTAATGTAAATATCTGATATGCAGGATGGTCTTAGGCGACCCCTGTGAAAGGGTCATTCGACCACCAAAGGGGTCGCGACCCACAGGTTGAGAACCGCTGTTCTAGATTCTTGCATCCTTCCTCAAGTTCCTAAGCTTCCATCTTAGCTAATAATACTGACTTCTTATTCCCTTCTATATCCTCTGTTTTTTAGACTTTCTGGTTTCTTTAGCAGAACATCTAAAGGTCCTCACCTTTGTCATAGGTCTAATCCATGGTGTCAACAGGTTGTCTCATCCCCACAGAGATCATGAACCCATGAACACTCAGGGGTGATGTTTAGACTATCAGACACCACATGGTATAGGCACTGACCAATCAGAATGGACATTATCATTAGAAGCAGGGTCCTGGATTGCTGGATCATGGTGGGAGCCTTGAGAGTTCCAAGACAGTGGCTAGGCTACTGTGGTGGGATTCGTGAAGTAGCTGTTTACCAATAAATACATATCTATGCAATCCAGATAAACATTCATTCAATGTATATTCCTCTCAAACAGGTTCACATTGAACACTTCCTACCTGGGTCAGAACTCAGATTTGGTTTTGGCTTCACTGTCTACAAACTATGTGACTTGAGCAATTCACTTTGGCTTTTTTGAGTCTTGAGCTTCTTATCTGTCAAATGGAGATAATAAGAAGGGACTAGAACATAGATGTTTGTACACTAATGTTCATAGCAGCATTACTTACCATGATCAAAAGGTAGAAACATGCCCAGTTGGCATGGCTCATGGTTGAGTGTCGAAACAACCCAACTGTGCATTGATGGAGAATGAATAAACAAAATGTGGTGTATACTTACAATGGAATGTTATTCAGCCATAAAAAGGAATGAAATTCTGATACATGTTATACAATGGAGTGGCCTTGAAAACATTATGCTAAATTAAATAAGCCAGACACAAAAGGACAGATGTTACATGATTCCATTTACATGATTCTACTTATATGAGGTACCTAGAATCCTATCTAATCAAAGGGTAATATGGAAATTAACTGTCACTCCATCACAAAGATGACGGCACCCATAGCCACAAGATGGTGGTGCCCAGTCCCTTCAGCCTTGCAGGAGTCCCCCAGTCCTGGAGGGTGGCTGCTGAGAGTGGGCAGTGTGAGCAGCCTGGCAGAATGCTTGCTTCCTTGCCACGGTGACGAGGCAAGTGTCCTGCCCCAGCTGCAGAGAGCCTCTGGGCCGCAGAGAGCCTCTGGGCAGCGGATGCAGAGCGGCCAGGACCCGCAGAGAGCAGAGTACCATGGGGAGTGGGCCTAAGCCGTCAGGGCTCCTGGATTGGAGAGGGCTCCCCTGAGGGCTCCCAGATTGGAGAGGGTGTAGGTCGGGCTGAGGAACCCACCCCCTGTGCATGAATTTTGTGCACCGGGCCTCTAAGTAGGCAAATATATAGAGAAGAAAGCATCATGGTTACCAGGAGCTGAAGGGAGGGAAGAATGAGGAGTTACATTTAACTGGTACAGAACTTCAGTTTGGGATGATGAAAAGTACTGGAGATGGGTAACGGTGAGG